GAGCTAAGAACACCGTGAGATAGCATGTCGCTATACCCACTTCTCTGGTGTACCAGTGTATTGTAAATTGGCCCTGATTTATGACCTGCAAAACTAAAATACTTACGAAACTGCATCCAAATTGGAACACGGAATTTGGGATAGCCTATGTCTGTGTTCCCATAATGGCTCTAAAATACACCATCTCTTGTTCCCTTTAAGATGAGAGCTGTGGTTTTTATGCAAATATATCTTAAGTGATGAATTTTACTGTTCTGAGGTCTGGAGTCTAGGAAGCCCAAGATTAACTTGTTTTCTGGGGAAGGCCTTCACCTTGCCACTGCGTCTCCATATGGAGAGGGAAAATGAACTTCCCTGTGTCCTTCTGACTAGAGCATTTGTCTCTCATTAGGATGCTTTCCTATGATCTTCTTCAGCCCCAGTTACCTCCTTAGAGGCTCTGGCTCCAACCACAGTGACAGAGAGGACATCAGTCCATGGATATGGATTTGGACTGGGGTGTGATTCAGTTCATGGTACTATTATTCCCAAAGTCAGAGCTGGATCCAGTAAGAGCTTTGAGGAGCACAGGAGGTCTTGAGTGAATGGATATAGGTTGGACAAAGTCCAGAATTATTGTGTATTGTTGACATGGGCACAGCCATGTCAAGCAATGATGTCTCAGACCAATGGGAATTTGGTAAGGCCTTCCCTCGGGGTGAGGCTCAGAGGGATGGCAAAGGCTTCCATTGGCCCAGGGACCTCTTACTGAGCCAGTGAAGCCCTCTTCCTGTGCTGTACATTATAAACACCTCAGGGTCTCAGTTGCTGTTTAGTTGATGTGATCCTATCATAGCACGTCAGTGCTATAGGACCATGCTATGAAAATCTCAGTACAGAGCTGTAGGCAGAGATTTTTTTTTTCCCCCAACAGCCTGGTCCCACAGCAGCCTCAACCCCAGATAAGCACACAGAGACTTAATTATAAAACTGTTGGCCAGTGGCTTGGGCTTCTTATTGGCTGGCTCTGTCTTAACCCATTTCTATTAATCTATGTATTTCCAAGTGGTCTTGGCTTATGGGAGAGTGCCTGTTGCACCCTCTCCTGGGCTCTCCATCTGCCTACATTTCCCAGAATTCTCATCTCCCATCAGAGAGCTGTTCGGATTAACCAAGAATGATCTTCCTCTTATTAGATAGTTCTTAAATCAGTAAAGTTCTAAGCACTGTTCTCCAAGTCATTTCAGAGTGAGCTGCAATTGTAAGCACAGAGTAGGAAGGAAGGTTGGGCTCTGCCCCTGTTCCCAGGCTGGATTCTGGGCTTATCTGAATGAGCATTGGTTTATTTCACAAATAGTGTTTACACTTACTCAGTGTTAGTGCTGTCCACATTACTGAGGTGGGTGGATGAAAATAAGGCCATCTTTTACCTCTGTGGTGAAGGCACATGCCCCCAAAGGAGAGAAAATGGAAGGGCTCCAAACGACCATGGCAAACTACTATCCCCTGAAATCCTTGAGCACTTTTAAAATCTGAGTATTTGCCTTGAATTAGCTCTCAGCTTCATTTTGAGACTGTAGAAAGGATCGTGTAAACATTCAATGACATACCCACCAAATTAAAATACTACCTATTACTTTAGACTATGCTGGGGAAAACTTTAGTGTGTTTATCAAAATACTTTCTCATAAGGGATGAAGGATGCCTTTGACAGTGAGCAACCAATGGGTACCCTGTCAGCTGCTTGTCAGGATACACTATTGGTCCCCTTTCAGGGTTATCAGTTCTGCTGTGGCTGTTGAAAGAAGCCTGTCTTTTCCAGCCTGATCTGGTTTTACACCTTGGTAGCAGATGCTAACAGCATGGAACCTAAAATAAAACACACTTCACAGTTGTTAGGACCAACTTCCCAGGGTTTTCATCATGTGCTAAGGGGAAGTCACAGTCTTCTTGGGTATAGATTAATGATGATATGGTTTCAAGTTTCAGAGGGAATAGATACAGACTATTATTACTTTAATGGTGAGAGCAGAGAGTCTGCAGTGTTTCTTTTTATTATACAACATAGTTTGGTGTGTAACAAGCAGTATTTTTCATCCTCAATGCTTCTGGTAAATATAGATGATATAAACTAGAATATCTAAAGACACTTGCTTTTGTGTTTCATTATTAAAGTAGTTCCAGAATTTTAGTTAATTTTTTAATTCTCTTGGATCTTAAATTTGTGTTTGCGCACACGTGTGTGTGTGTGTGTGTGTGTGTGTGTGTGTGTGTGTTGTATGCACATGCACAGGAGCACAGAAGTCAGGGAAGGGTGCACACGTGTGTGTGTGTGTGTGTGTGTGTGTGTGTGTTGTATGCACATGCACAGGAGCACAGAAGTCAGGGAAGGGCGCACGTGTGTGTGTGTGTGTGTGTTGTATGCACATGCACAGGAGCACAGAAGTCAGGGAAGGGCGCACATGTGTGTGTGTGTGTGTGTGTGTGTGTGTGTGTTGTATGCACATGCACAGGAGCACAGAAGTCAGGGAAGGACTCTAGTCTTACCACTCTCCACCCCACACCCTGCCCCCCCCCCCCCCCCAGATAAGATCTCTCATTAAATCTGGAACTCACTGTTTTTTGTTTGTTTGTTCTGGGCGAGGCTCCTGGGCAGCAATCCCTAGTGATCCTTTGTCTCTACCTAGCTGGTGCTGGGATTCCAGCCCACAAGGCTATGGCCAGCGTTTTATGTGTGCACCAGGGAGCTGGGGTCCTTGCATGTGCTTATCGGTGATCCCGTCCACTGAGCCATCTCCCAGCCCCTGTAATCCTCCGCAGTACAGGGTGGTGCTAGTTAATGGTTTCCAAGAACTACGCCAAACAAAACAACAACAAAAAACAAAACAAACACAAAACAAAACAAAAAAAAAAAAACAACCAACCAACCAACCAAACAAAAACCAAACCACACAGACACAAACCAAACATCCATTTCTTAATGCATGTGAGAGAGCTTGACAGTGCTGTCTCCTAGAAGCAAACATCCCTAAATGAGGGTAAAAGTGGCCCTCATGCTTGAGTGTGAGAAAACTCCTTATTCCCCACACCTGGAGTCCTTTAAAATTAGAAATGTCACAAGTCTGGTCAGTGGCTGTTGACAAGCCAACACAGTTAAGTTTCTCCAGGGACTTAAACCTTGGTTGTAAATCACTAGTTTAAAAGGCAGAATATATTGTAAGATGTTATGAATATTACATATTAGCAGTTTCTTCTTGATTTTTCAATTTATTAGAATCAGCTGATGTTTGAGTTTTAGACATGGTCTTTCTTTGAGGTTCAGGCTGGCCTCGGACTCTTGATCCATTTGCTTTTGCTCTGTGCTGGGACGGTAGGCATGTGTCATCATGCCTGATTAACTGATTTGCTTTGAGTTTCAGGCTCACTCTTAAGTCCATTCAACCAGACTTTGGGGGCAAAAGGCCAATACAATCTATTACAAAAATATCATGGTATGGGAAACATGGTATACTATTACATTTTTTTATTATCTCATTTCGGATTCATTTTAGCATCTTAAACCACACAAATGAATGGGTCTCATGTGACACCTCAGTGATGTGTAGATTGTCACAGTGTTCTGAAAAAGATCATGGGAGAAAGTTCTCTCTAGCCTAAGTTTTGCACAAGTAACTTAACTTTGTTTCTCGACACCATAGTTTATGTAACATATTACTTGTTCTTTCTGCACAGACCAAAGCACAAGGCCAGACGTGAATCTTCCTAACAAATAACAAATATTCAGGCAGCAACTCACTGTCATGGGGCCCTCCCCCTCCCCTCCCCCTCCCCTCCCCTCCCTCCTCCTCCCCTCTCCCTCTCCTCCCTTCCTCTCCCTTCCCCCTCCCCTTCCCCTCCCCTCCCTTCCCCCTCCCCTTCCTTCCCCTCCCCTCCTCCCCTCCTCCCCTCCCCTCCCCTCCCCCTCCCCTCCCTTCCCTCCTTTCTCCCTCCCTTCCCCTCCCCTCCCCTCTCTTCCCCTCCCCTCCCCTTTCTTCCCCTCCCCTCCCCTCTCTTCCCCTCCCCTCCCCTCTCTTCCCCTCCCCTCCTCTTCCCTCCCCTCCCCTCCCCTCTCCTCCCCTCCCCTCCCTCCCCTCCTTTCTTTTCTCTGCCCTTCCCTCATCCTCTTTCTTGCTGTCTTTTCCCCTTTCTCCCACTGATTTTTAATTCTGTGTTTTTTCTATTGCAGAAATTTTACACATTTAGATAAACTCTTTCTGGAACAGAGTATGACATAAGTCAGTAGTTACCATCCAAATGTTTGTGTGCATATATATGAGGATAGTTTTTGCACTGAGCTTGTATTTCTGTTCATTATTTTCACAATAGCACTACACTTCTTAAAGGCTCAGAGCAGAACGGAGGCTTCTAGGGAATGAGGAGTGAAGAAAATGAGATATACGTTTTTCATTGAGTATAAAACTTCCGTTTCCAGGATGAATAAATTCTGAAGATTGGTTGTATTTGAGTGTCTATAATTAATACTATATAGTATAATTAAACATTTGTTTAGAAAGCATTTAAAACATTAGAAACACCTTTAAAAGTCTAACAATAATGTAAAACACCCTAATAGCGTGGGATGAAAACCAACACAAACGTCGTTGGAGGATGTACCATTATTGCCTCATGCAGACGCCTTATGAGGAGTGTGGCTGGAAGCAGAGTGAAGATTGTTTCATATTCATAAAGACAAAGACAGGCTTCCATATTTTATTTAGGATGAAATCAGTGTGGTAAAAATAAATCATCAATACACATGAAAAAGAGCGTGGTTCCTTAACAAAAAGATTGAAAAAATTTTTCTCTCAAATTCAGTCATTATTTATTCACTGCTGTCTAGACAGCATAAACGAAACGGGTTTTTAAGGCAGAGCCCCAGCTGCACCACAGTCTTCCTGCAGCCAGCTACATCTGTAGATGAAGTTCATCTCCCAGCACATCCCAGAAATGAAGCAAGTGATTGGCAGATCCAGGAAAAACCATTTGCAAACTCAATTTGCACTTGATGGGGCAAGCTTGCTTTTAATCCAACTCTGGTATTTCTTCGTCAATAGGGTGTAGATTCCAGGCTTATTGGCAATGCCACATTTATGGCCCCCAGAGACTATGGCATGAAAGACACCTTTGCAGACCAAGGGGCCCCCTGAGTCTCCCTGGAGAAGTAAAATGGGCAGATACTTTGTAAGAAGCTGGCGAGGTTTCCTAGTTTCACTGTTGTTATTAGCAGCCCTTGGTTTTGTCGTGACCCAGAGTACACAACACAGCCTCTTGTTCACAACAGGCTTTGTCTGTCTGTCTGTCTGTCCTTGCTTCGCTCTGTGTTTGCATCTCTGTCTATAACCATGAATGTGTCTCTCTGCTCATTTCATGTCTTATTCTCTCTACCCTGTGTCTATGCACACATCTCCCTTTGGTCATCAGTGGCTCCTGGACTTTGCTAGTTAAAGAGCAGGTAGACATAGAGTTGGAAATTATCCACTGAAATAAAGTGAGCCTCAACACTGTGAATGCCAGTTTGACACCAGTGGCCTAGGAATCAAATTGTTGTTGAGACCAGCACAAAACAAAAACAGAGCATGGTAAATGAGGTGATGGAAAGAACCATGCTTTCCCTGTTGTTTTTATTTTGTTTTTTAATTTGTCACTCGCACACATTTGAAGATGCCACTGTGTATGCAACCATCCACTGACTGGGTGATTACACAGGACCTAATCTAACAGAGCAGGCAACTGAATTCTGTCACAAGCAAAGCAGTCATAGAGGAGATGATGTGGCCTTTTGGTCAAAGAGTTGGCTTTCAAATGTGACGACTAGTGTCTGTCTCTGCTGCTGGTCACATGACAAAGTTCAGGACCTTGTCATGGCTGGTTAGAGATGCTGACCTGGTCAGGAGGGTGGTGGCCTGGGGAAGTCCTGGGGGCTTCATGAACCAACCCAGTGTGGTTTACTCCGGTAGGATGCAAGTATTAAACTCTTATTTTTTTAAAACTGTCAGTAATCTGGGACTAGCAGCATATAGCTCATTGGGTAAGGGTGTTTGTCACCACATCAGATGGCCTGAGTTCCACCCAAGGACCCACATGGTAAATGGAGGAACGTTCAATTAATTGTCCTCTGGTCCTCCGTGTGTGCTGTAGCATGCATTTATGTGTCCAAACACAAAGTAATTAAATAGATAAACTCAGTGTAAGAATGGCTTAAAATTATTAAGCTGTCTATGCTACTTACTAGTCACCTAAAATGTATACCCAATGTTTTCTCACCATCTCGGTACATAAAAGATTATGGAAGAGAGTAACAGATCCTTTTGTTAGCCAGTCTGTGGTCTGAGTATTTGTGTCCCCTAAATCGTGCGGAGCAATCCAATCTCCCAAGGGTTAGTAATTGAGGTAGGGGTTTTTAAGGTCATACAACAGGGTTTCTCACTAATGGGTTTAAAGCCCTGATCAAAAAACAAAACAAAAATAAAAAACAACCCTGTAGGGACTCTCCACCTCTGCCAGGAGGTTAGGGCGGAAAGAGACAATCTAGGAAGCAGACCAAATTTACTACCATCTTGATCTGGATTTTCCAACCCCCAGGACAGTGAAAAATAAATTGTTGTGGCCTTTATACCATGCATCTGACGGCATTTTGTCTTAGACGTCCATGCTGGTTAAGAAACATATGCTGCACTTTTAGCATCTGGCATATATGTCTTTTCAGTCCTCTCCAATGAGCACTTTAAAAGATGGTTCTTAGACTTTGAGGATGCCCCACAGAAGCCTCACCCTCCCTGGGGAGAAGAAAGGGGATGGGATGGGGGTTGGGGGGCGGGGGAGGAGGGGAGGATGAGGGAACTGGGACTGACATGTAAAACAAGCTTATTGCAAATTTAGATAAAACATTATAAAAAATAAATAAAAATAAAAGATGGTTCTTTTGGGGAGGGGGAGCTAAGTTATCTACCTGTGACCCTCAGAGTTGGTAGACTTCATAAGGGTGGTAATGGCCGCCAATAGACGCCCGGAAAGGTACAGTCTGTTAATAAGAGGAGCTTAAACACTGGAGAAGTTCACACGGGTGTGTAAGTGAGCGGAGAGGACACTGCAGGGGTGGGCAGTGAGTTGTCAGAACTGTGACCTCCTATTCTCCATGCCTCCCCTCAGGGCCAGAACATGCAGACCTGACTGCAGCTCAGTGGTCACCATAGTCAGAGACCACTTTGAATGAGGATGCTTGTAGCTGATTGTTTTTACTCTTCACTCTTTGGGGGAGAGGGCTCCACCCAGCTCCCAAATAAATTCACATGGAGTCTTACTTGTGAATGCCTGGCCTTAGCTTGGCTTGCTTCTCGCCATCTTTCCCTATCTTCAGTGCCCCCCGTCCATCTTGCCTCTGGGCTTTTATCTACTTCTGTGAGCCTCTATTTTCTCTTCGTTTTCTGTGGCTGGCTGTATAGCTGTGTGGCTGGTCTCTGGAGCCTTCCTCTCCCCCTCTTTCCTGCTCCTCAATTCCTCTTTCCAGATTTTGCCTCCTTTTTACCCTGTCTGCCCTGCCTATCCTTTTTTTCTGCCTTTCTGCTGGCCCTTCTGCTCTTTATGAGACAAATCAGGCAGTTTAGGCAGGCAAAGTAGCACAGCTTCACAGAGTTAAACAAACTCAACAAAAAAGAATGTAACCCCCACAGCATAAACAACATTCCTCAGCAGATGCTTACCTGGCAGGAGTCCATCATGTCCCTGGTTATAACAGGGTTTTGGTTGTAACAGCTTTGACTGTTGCAGCGTTTTCTGCTTATGGCGCTGACGGTGACTTCTTGCAGGGTATCCGAGGGCTTTAACAGATCTGGGCTGGGGACTCCCCAGCCGGTAACCTGGCATTTGGTTCCATCTCTAATATAGTTTTTAGATCTTGGTTGGAGCAGTTGCACATGCTTGTTGAGTTCTGCAGAAGTGTGAAGCTGAAAGATAGAGAAATGAGTAGATTATTGGTCCCCAGTGGTTCTCTGCAATCAGACCGCATTTGACCATGCCTTGGATGTGTGGCGCCTCTGCCTCAGGGAGGCATCTCTTCCTCTCCAATGCGCTTTGGTGACGGCCTGCAGCTGCAGTTTGGGCTGCTGCTTTTTTCTCCGATGCGCTTTCCGTTCTCCATGGGGCTCACTGATGTTTGCGGTTGGGAGCATACAGAGTCAGAGTTCCACCTAGCCTTGAGCACACTGGCCTTTGCCCTCCCCGCACTGGATGGTTTTCTGTGGAATGACATGTATAGGTCATGCCTTGGTGGGCTGGGCTGCTTCCTGCTGGACAGGGTCCTTGAGAACGGTCTAGACTACATTTGGACTGGAAAAAGTATGGTCTAGACTAAGTTTTAACTTGCTGCTGATTCCCTGAAGTCACTTGGTTGGCTCTTACATAAACAATTATTGCAGTTTTCGGTTGCTAATGTGAAAGGCATTTGGGGCAAAAGCATTTCCTGTGGCTCCCTGGGGCTGCTGACATGGTGCCCCTCTACGCAGCGAGCAGTACTGTTGATTTCTCCTGCATAAACATATGTCTAATGCATTTGTGGCTTTTGTTTTTCTTTCAGGGGAGTATATGGGGTAACATGGCCTTCATAGACTGTTTCACAGTTACTTCAAACCTGAGGAGGGCAGTACCAAGTGCTTTCACGTTGTGCTTTCACGTAGTTAATAGACTGAGTGACCCTGTATGAGAATATTGAAGAGGCAACTCTACCTACCTTTACTAGCATGATATCATGTGATGCCGGCGACTTTGAGAATGGGACGAGTCTTTTGATCTTAAATGTTTGTTTCATGGGCTCATTCTTGGAAAGAGAATGTGCTCCTAAAGCCACCGTGGGAGAGTGGCCCCTGGGAAACCTAAGAGAGTAAAGAAAATGGAGGTAAGGCAAGGGTGTCCAAGGCCACCAGTTAGCTCGGGGACGATGGTCACGTGCATGAAAGGCCAAGGACAGACCCCAGGAGACCTGCTCAGGGCCAGGCGAAGCGATGGGGCCCCAGTGGCCACACATCACCGGCTTCTCCATCAGCTGCTTCATTTCTAGAGCTGACTCATTCCCAACAATGATAGGTGTTTAAACCAATAAGGTGGGACTCGGCTATCCACTGTCTTGTCTGTCTGAGGAGATTCAGTTCAGAGAGGCATGCCCACGTGACTGCAGTGGGGAGGGCGTGTGTGTGTGTGTGTGTGTGTGTGTGTGTGTGTGACTGCAGTGGAGAGAGTTTGCATGCAGCAGACCTATGGCTGCCTAGAATTACCACTTCTAAGTTTCTATTTCAGCTCTGTTTGTTGAAAAGTTTGTCTATTGCGAAATCAGAATGGAGATGGAATTTCTGAGGACATGGATTAGATTTCCCAGGATTGATTCAAATTCAAATCAACATGCTCACTAAACCCAAAGCTCTGGAGAGCTAGGATACAAAATCCCCAGGAAAGTGGGGTGTGTCTGTAAACAGTCTCCCACTGACAGGGCGAAGTACAAACACCAGGGAGAAGGTAGATGCTGAGTAGGGAGAAGGCTGAGATTTCTAACGCTCATTCAACCATTACCCAGTTCCTCGACTAGCTATTGATTTTGAAATGCTTGGGCTATTTTTGTCTCCACTTCCAAAGGCTAATAAACCTGAGCAGATCAATATGCTCTCTGAATTTTCAACTGCAATCTGTGCCATGGAGCAAAGTTGAAGTTTTCTGTCCATGGAGTAAAAATGAAATGACCTGGATTCTTTTTTTTTTTTTTCTTAAAAAAAAAAAATGCACACACACACACACACACACACACACACACACACACACACTACGGTGTGTGCATGGTGGCCAGAGGACGACTTCCAGGAGTCAGTCTCTCCTTCCATCATGTGGGCCCCAGGGATAGAATTTGGGTGGTCAGGCTTGGTAAGTGCCTTACTTGCTAAGTCATCTTACTGGACTCCATCTCTTTATCTGAGTCTATCTGAATTCACACAGAAGAGACGTAGTAATGCCAGGGTCCCACGTTTGCACGTCACAAGGTTTGTCTGAGGATGGCCTTCAGCATCTGGAGTTTTCTATGCCGTTTCCTAAGTTCCACCCTGCCTGCCCTGTCTTGGAACTATGTGCAGAGTAGAACCATGGTATGTTTGTAACATTTCTTCTCTTTTAGAGGGCCCACCAGGCCCTCCTCAGTTTTAAAGACACGCTGGGCTGCACATCCCCTATCAGCCTTCTAACTGATGCAAAGCGACCCATCTCACACACAGAGGACACAAGACCCACGCTCAGCGTTCATGTCCCGAGCCTAGCACTCTGCCCTGGACTCTCCGTTTGCTTTCTATCAAGCTCCTCTAGCATCTTGCTTCTTTGGCCAGCCTGTCTTGATGCTGAGCAGAGCCCACGCTTAGACCAGCTCCTGAGGTCTGGCATCAAAGGCAGGGAGGGCTCCTGTTTCTTGGAGTCTCTCTTGGCTCAGACAAAGAAAAGTTGCTGGCTGTCAGAAAGCAAAATATTCCCGGTCCCATCCCATGCACACCAGTGGGCACCGTGCTCATTGCTGAAAGGCTGCAACCATAATATAGCAAGCAGTACTTGGTACATGAGCTAAGGTCTTGTGTCCAGCGCGATGCCTTTCATTTATTCCCTGAATAACTGAAGCAGAAGCCTTCACTGAAGCAGAAGCCTAGTGAGGTGGGCATGAAGATGGTTCTCATTTTACAGACGAGGAAGCTGAGGTTCAGCTAAATTAACCCTAAGAATGAATTAGCTGGAGGTTATGGGATGTACATCCAGGCAGGATTAGAACTCGTGGTTTGGGCTGGGGATGTAGCTCGATGGCAGAAGAGCGCTTGCCTAGCAGGCATGAGGCCTCGGGTTCAATTCCCTAGCATCACAAAAATGTAACAAAAACAGTTCCATTGCTTTGTCTCTGAAGCTTGGTGGAGCGGCTGCACGAAAGAGGCAAGAGGCTGTGGAGGGTTCCATGGAAACTTGCCCAGGCAGGTAACAGGGGAAAGGCTCAGGGGACGAGCAGAGTAAACAAAACGGCCAAGAGTTTCTTTCTCTTTGTAGACAGGCTCTTCCTAGGTGTCTCAGGTGAGCCTCAAGCTAGCAATCCTCCTGCGCAGGCCTTCAGAGTGCCACCACACCCGGCATCCGTTTCCCTTTATACTTGATGGGCTAACTGCCAAGGCGCTAAGGGAGAATAGAGCAGATGGGTGGAGAGAGAGAGAGAGAGAGAGAGAGAGAGAGAGAGAGAGAGAGAGAGAGAGAGACTTCTGCTTTTGGCTCTCTCTGTCACTGTGCTGGCTTAGTAAACTGTTCCCTCAGGATCCCTGTGAGCACAGTTGTGGGAAGCCACCATTGAACTGTTTCATAAATATTTTGAATTTCATAAGGCTTAATATTTTTCCAAGCAGTGATCTTGCCTCCATTTTTACACCCAAATGTCCCCTGGAGGAAATTTGATCCACATATTTCAGAGTCGTTTATATGCCAGCCGTTTAAAATGATATTTAGCAAGAACTTTTTTTTAAAACTCCAAGACCTTTTTTTTTTTAACTCCAAGCCCTCTCTTCAGTTGTCTCCCCTCCTCTCCTATCCCGCACTCCATCTCCCCTTTCCCTTCTATTATTATTATTGTTGTTGCTGTTGTTGTTGACCATCTCCTTCCCCAATCTGGGATATGCTTTGCTTGAGTTAAATGCATTAGATGAATTTTAACCCTGACACTACCTGCCTTCCTGCCGGGACCCCACACACCACGCACCATGTCTGCCCTTCCGACCAGCACTTGTTGAACATTTCCACATTTGGCTCCTTGTCTGGCTGCTGTGAGTGAGCATTATAAGCGTATTTGCAGAGGCACAAACTTTGCCTGGAATGAAATTTGCTAGTGGTGTGGGAAGCAGGACAGAGCTGCCCTGTGGGTGAGTACGGATAGGAAACTGGAACCCGGCAACCTGCTCTTTAGAAGCAGAGCAGTGCCTTTCCTGTCTTCAAGCTCTGGAGCTTCCAGCACGGCTCCCATAAAATGTGCCGGCAAGGCAACATCCCCAAAGCAGGGAGAGTCAGGCCAGCTGTTCTGTTTAGATGCTGTTGATGTCGAGATAGCAAGCTTAGGGAGCTAAGATACACTCTTTTCTTAGTGTCTATCTATTCCTGGTTGGTGTGGACCAGGCTGGCCTTGAACTCACACAGATATTATTGCCTGCCTCTGCCTCCTGAGTGTTGGGATTAAAGGCGTGCACCACTATGTCCAGCTAACTTTTTAAAAATTAGATTTATTCATTTTATTTTATGTGTGAGTGTTTTGCTTGTACGTATGTCTGTGCATCGCGAACATGTTTGGTGCCTGCAGAGATCAGAAGAGGGCATTGGATGCCTGGAACTAGAGTTACGCGGCTACCGTGTGGGCGCTGGGACTCGAACCCTAGCTTTCTGCAAGGCACTGAGCCATTTCTCCAGTCCAGTCCCTGGGACGTGTTCTTAGTGAAGGGCTGCAAGGTTGAAAGGGAAAAAGGAGGTGGACCAGGAAGCCCGGCAAGAAGCTTAAAGAAGCAAACGTGCAAACAGAAGAAACAAAACCAGAAAACTCAAGCAACCACTGTCAGCTCTTTCCTAGCCGTCTTCTCAGCATGCTGATACTTCACCTTAAGCTGAAGGGACTGGGATGGGGGGGGGGTGTCATCCACGGTCAGAAGAACTTCCCTTTAAATGTCCCCACCCCCAAATAGCCTTCTCTGCCTCACATTTTATTTAATAAAACCTCTGTAATTGTTTCCCCTCAAGAGAAGTTGCTGGGTAAAGCATAAGGCTGGAGAACTGAGAATCTGCAAAGCCGTTGCCACACGCAACACTAACAGCGTCGTCTGCAATGCATCTGCGCGCGCTGGATATGTCAAATAGTCTGTGTACCTGAATAAAGACACCAGTTCTCCAGACCCCCCCGCTGCGGCATACGGTAACCTCCCTTATCCACAGGCTTCCTTTCAGCAACTCCAGTCGCTTGTGGTCCAGAGATAAACAATGCACACATTCTGAATAACTTTCCAGAGTGGGCTGCCTTAGTTGCTCTGCTATCGCGGTTGTAAATCTTACCGCACACTTAATTCGCTGGTTAAACTTTATCCCACGAGCGTTCCTAGTCACGGAGAATGGCATGCACGGAAACGCACGGGGAACTCACCAAGAGCAGCAGTGGGCCGCTGTTAGCACCCACTGCGGGTGGATCAGGACTCCCCTGCAGATATGCCTGCCGCAGTATGGATGGAAGCCATAAACGGCCCGGAGTGTGGCGGCACGTCTCAGCACGGAAACCTGAGAAAGTGAGCCCAAAGATGTCCCTGACCCAGCAGCCGCCTCTAACCATTATCTCTATCATCTATCCCAGCAATGCTACCCACCCTGACTACACTTCCCATGGTTTAGCAGTTGTAGAAGCCCAAACAGGCGAGATGGGAAACGCTGTTGACAGTGTAACAAGGCAGTCACCAGAGATTTCGCATCTTATTCACAGGGCACAAGCAGGGGATACTCACACTCCGAGGGCAGACACAGCCCAGCTGCCAGGAAACACAGAGCCAATGCAGAAAGCCCCATACTGGCCGAGCCTCAGCACAGAGGAGCAGGGATGCAGCGCAAAGCCTGAGGCTGATGAAGAAGATTCTGGAGACGGGTGGGTTTCCTTTCTTTCTCCTGTTTCTTCTCACCTCACCGGCTCCAGAGCTTAGAGTTTTCACACCCCAGCTTTCAACGTCTCTGTCAGTTTGGGGAGTTTCGGGTCTGTGGTGGCAGGTGCAGTGCTCACTGCTGGCCGAGGTGTGAGAATTAAAATTACTCGAGCCGTAAGACCCCAGTGAGCAGCTGGACGGTGGTCCTGGCTCTAAAGCGGTGGTTCTCAACCTGTGGATCGCGACCCCCTTGAGGTCGCACATCAGATATTTACATTAGGAGTCATAACAGTAGCGAAATGACAGCTATGAAGTATCAATAAAGTAATTTTATGGTTGGAGTCAGCACAACACGAGGGACTACAAGTATTAAAGGGTTGCGGCATTAGGAAGGTTGAGAACCACCGATCTAAAGTAATACTTATGTTTTCCCTGGCATGAAGTGGAGCCTACCATACTTAATTCCTCTCACTTTTCATTTGCATATAGATTTATGATATGGAGACATGGAACCTTGCACAGATCTTAGTGGCTTTTACGGTGTGGCTTAGCTGCAGCCTGAGTACCATCCGGAGAAACCCATACATTTCGCAGCAAGCACATTCCTTGTCTTGCTTAAATGTGACCAAATTTCATTAAATTTTAGTTAATTCTTTTGAGGTTTAATAATGTTATTAAAGGGGGATATTGGCAACCCATTTTTTTTTTTATTCAAACTTTCTTTGACTCAGTTTTAATTGAAAATGACCACATGTTTATCCAGGGCCACAAACATGTCTTTTAAACATCAAGGACTGTATTTCTTCATTCTCCCCAGGAACAGATGATAATGTAATGCCAGGCCTTTTAAGTGGACCTTCTCTCGATCAGGCTCAGGGTTCTGTCCACACTGAATACACAAGGACATACATTGTAGAGTAGGCATGAATGACCAGAGGGTAGACATGAGAGCACCAATGTTTTCCAGAAACACTTGCCAAAACTCGCATAACTTTTACTTTTTAAAAAAAGATTCATGAACTCTGTCTTCTAGTTTTTTTTTTTTAAAGAATTAAAACCAAAACTATCATGCATGGTAGATGGCAAAATAGTCCTACAAAATTCCTTTTCTTTGAAAAGAAAATAGGAATATAATTAATACCATCTGCTATATGGCATAATTTAATGATATGTTAAGTTCAACGTCAACTTATTTCCAAAATTCTCTTTACACGGTCATTTATATCTCCATGTCTGTATCTGTGAGGAAGGCAGGCAGCAATTATATTTATGCTGTACTGAAAAGATAGGCTCAGAGAGGTCCGTTTGCCCAAGCCCGCGGCGCTGGAACGGAGCCAGCTCTCATGACTCACTTGCAGGAACGTGGATGCTAATAAGTACAGCACTGGATAAGTAGTGTCCCGTTTTCATTTTACAAGGGTACAGCCACAGCAAAACTCTCCAAGTACTGAGCAAAATGAACAACTCACACTCAGAGCAGCGACTTCCTGCTAATGAGCAAAAGGTGACTGTGGGAGCCAGCTTGAGAAAAGCCACAGGCTTACCTAGCCGAGCCCGTTAGCACCACCCAAAAGTCCCACGAACTGCCAAGTGATCTGTTACCGCTCATGTACTCTCAACTGATCCCCCCAAGTTGCCAGGTAATGAGGCTGGGAACAGAAGGCAAATGACATGTAACAGTGATCTGAATGTAAGGAAGGAGTAATCTACAGAGGACAGTTGTGGTATGGTGTGGATGAAATATCGCATCTGGCTTACTTCTCTGTAGTAAGGACTCACAACTGCATAGCGTTTATTGGGGAGGGCTAAACATTTTCAGCTGCATTTCCTGGGAGGTGGCTGTCCTTCGTCTTGTTTTATGGATGGAGAAACTGAAGCTGAGACTGCACAGATTACCCTGCTGGCAGATGGTGCCTCAACCCTGCAGACTTCACGTTTCCTCCAACTGAACCACACTGTCTGCCCTGTTCCCTCTGAGAAACGTGGCTTAGACACTTCAGGAGGCAGGCAGGCGGTGCAGAAGGGAAAAAGGATTTAGTTTGCACACCGCAATTAGACATGGGTGAGATTTAGTTCAATCGAGAAGAGAGGCTCATAATTCTTTCTTGTAGTTGACCTGGAAAATTCTGAGAATTGGTTTACAATAATGAGTTTCTGGGTTTTGGCTTTAGAACCCTGTGCTAGTTAATAGAATCATTTGTTATTGTGTTTGGGATCCGGGGTTTGAAGATAGTGGGCTGTGTAATATGATGAGCTGGGTCATCTCATTGATTTCTGGGTGTTGGTCTTTGCTCTGTTGAGTCTGCCGCGGGGAGAGCCGTGTTTGCTTTGGATGACTTTTACAGCAGCTGTACTAGTCTGAGCAAGTGCACGGTGCTCAGCCTGCGACTGGCTCCTCACGTCCCATCTGCATCCGGGCTGTGGAGGTTCTCTTCTGTGGTGGTTAGCTGTCTCAGTCTGTGTGTGTGTGTGTGTGTGTGTGTGTGTGTGTGTGTGTGTGCGCGCACATGGTGAGAGATGTTGTGACACTCCTGCTTTCTAGGAGACCCTGATAGACCAGCTTCCCTGATGCTCCTAAGAGCACATGTCTGATTGTCCCTCTGGGGACGTCTTTCACAGCCCAGGCACCTGTGTGCAACCCTCACTATTCTTTGGGGCTGAGTCACTGGAGTGTGGCTGGCAAACTTGTGTCAGTCTGAGACCTGCTTAGGATTCATTAGGGGATAAACAAGGACAGAAACTGAAAATGAGTGTTTGGAAAATTACTGCAATTCAACATGGCTTTATATTACTTTTTTAATGAAACACAATTTGTTCAATGTAATAAGACGTTAGGTAAGTCTTTTATATGCCTTTGTTATTTGATTAACTGTTCTATTCAGTTGTATTGGATAAAAGTGTTAGTCCATGATGGACTAAAAGTAAAAACAAGTTAACAACAACAACAACAACAACAACACACACACACACACACACACACACACACACTTCCCCAGTGTAGAAACCACAAGGAAACCCTGAAGACATGGCTCTCAGTGGGTGTGAAACCTGTCTCACTGACTTTCTGTGTCTTTTGCAGAGCATTAAAAAAGAATCCTTTTCGTTTTGATTCCATGAATTTGTGTGTATATGAGAGGTATGTGCTTGTGTGTGCAGGTGAGTGCAGGTGCTGGGAGACTCAGAAGAGGGCGCTAGGTGCCCTGGAGCTCGAGTTACAGGTGGTCGGGAGCCAGCTGATGCGGGTGCTGGGAACTGAACTTGAGCTCCCTGGAGGAGCAGAAAGCTTCCTAACTGTGGAACCATCTCTGGAGCCCCATTTAAGACAATTTCTTTAAATTACAGTTATTCATTGATGAGATGTGGTGTGTGTGTGTGTGTGTTGTGTGTGTTTGCCACAGGGGAATGAATACCTCAAGGGCCTCAGGGCAAAGCGGGGTGTCTGCTGGAAGGTCCTGCCTGGCCGGCCACCCTCTCCCTAGCCCTTTCTCGTTGTGATTCCTCGTTGTGTTCTTCTTCAGGGTGGCCTTGGATTCCATTGTCCGAGTTCAAATGTTATGGGAGAGATGGGGAAAGTCCCACAGAGGGTGGTCCCTGTGATGTCACTGGGCCCAAGGCGGGCCACTCACACTGTCTGTAATGTTTTTCCTAAAAGATTTACACATGTGAGAACCCTGCAGTGGTGTGGCCGCCAAAGGAAGGTCAGCAGCTTTGCCCTCTCATCCAAACTCTGGCTGTACTGGAACAGGGAACGCCTTACATAGAGGAAGGTGAGCACGATTTGAGCATAGTAGGGTGAGCACGATTTGAGCATAGTAGGGTGAGCACGATTTGAGCATAGTAGGGTGCTAGAAAGAAAAACAGGTCGACATGTAAGGAAAATGAAAGGGGAAAGTACATGGGGGAAGGGCTTAGTGATAAAACCCAGAAGAATGCTTATCCTTACATTCACATAAGTGTAGCTCTCACCGCTCGGCAATGAAGCTGCTTCGTCTTCCTCCTCCCCCTCCCATCCTTTTTAACACACAGATGGAAATCATTATAGAAAGCTACACCTGGTCGAAATGCAGAGACCAACCACCAGTGCCGAGTGTTAGTTACATCGACAACGCAACCCCTGCGCCCAAGGCTCAGGGCACATGAGGGGGCGGGACAGGGGTGGAAAGATGTGAAAGCCAGAGGACCAGGACGTCTCTTGTGAGAGTGTGTCTTCTATATCTGACAAGGGAGCTACATGCTGAGGTCGCAACCACATGTCCTTCTAAGCGCGACCTGAACACCACCAGTTGACCTGGCTACGTAGATGGGGAAATCTCTCGGGATCCCTCCCCTAAAGAGAAATTAACGATTGCAAAGACGAGAATCACTGGTTATCCACTACAAAAGGGCCATGCCTAAAGCCTACATATGAGCAATACCAAATGAACTCGGCATATTGTATTTATATATTTATGTATATGTATATATCAACAAAATAAAGGAAAATCGGTTATGGACTCGAGAAAGCATAAGGAAGGTAAGGGGTAGAGATAGGATAGAGAGGGGAATGATGTAAATATAGAACATATATATGATATTTGAAAATTAATGTAATAAAAAACAAGACAGCAGAGGCAGTAAAGGGAAGGGACAGGACTTTAGACTGAAAGGGGAATTGTAGTGAGATAGTCCTTCTGTGGCACTGGCCACGCCCATTGGGGGGTGGAGCGATGGGCGGAGGTGACCTGAGGAAGGAGGTCAGAGGGGGCAGGAAGGCGCTCTCTCTTTCTGGCGTGACTCGGACAGGAGAGGATCGGGTTGAATTTCCTGGTGTTCATCTGTCCAGGTTGTAAGTTATTTCTCCCTGAATAAACATCTATTCGGCCTATTTGTTTATCCTGATCCTTATTTACCGCAATACAGGACTAAACACATTATAAGGGACAAAAAGAA